CCCCCCCCCTTGTCCCCCCGCCCCCCCTGGACCCCCGCCGCCATCTCCCCCTACCAGGCTAGCCGACTGCGAGGCCGCTCCGTGGTCCACTACGTTGATGAACTCGAGCTCGTCTTCGGGCTTGGACATGGTGTGTCTCCGGCCCCTGCGGGGTTGGGTTTGGAAGTGGGTTCGGGGAAACGTGGGGTTGATGCATACGCGAGGTACCTAGCACATGCAAGTTGCTGTTGGTGGGGGGGGGGGGGTACTCATAGCCGTGCATGCCGTTGTCGTTACACACCCGTTGGCCTCACATCCCTACAAAGCCGGGACTGAGCAAGCCGGGTTCTCACAGGCGGGCCAGGCTCTCACGTCACTAAGCGAGGTGTGAGGAGGTAACATAGTTTTTGAGGAAGAACCGCACAATTGCTTGAAACTTGGGAGCTGCCAGGGTGCGTCGAGAGGGGTTCCGTGTCCTTTGAGGCGAGCGACAAGGTGCACGTGTGCGGCGAGACTCGGGTTGCACACCAGAGTGAACGGCGGTGCTTACATAGGTGCGGGCTCGAGGTTCGTGTTTTCGCCGCAAAACCGTTACAGGCCGCGGCGGAACGGCAAAAACAGGCGTAGGTGCGGAGGGTTGTATTGGTTTTGTGTCTTGCGCGCTAGAGCGAGAGGGAAGGCTAAGCGCGCGCGGGGGAGGGGGAATCCCACAGGCCAGTCGGTATTAACAACACCATGTCCTGTGTGCGCCCCACACGCGTAACTGCTGTTTCATTCAATCGTTTGTTTCATTCGGAACGGATTTTGATGAATGTAAGATACACCTCTCCCTGGACTAACAACAAGAGAACGCATGCCCTTCGGAAAAAATCCTGTACTATTCTGAGGTTCAGAGACACGATCCGTCGCTCGCCGCCTGTCACTCTTGGCCCTCGCTGCCTCTCGCTCCGGGAATATGTACAGCAGTAGAGTGGTCTCTCTGGGGCATTACGGAATTCGTCCTGGTTTTCCTTCCTAAGAAGACCGCGGAAAGCTTGTAGTCATACGCAGCTCAGGCAGTTCACCAAGTACCAGCTACTAAGCGGACAGACCTACCTTGCAGATATCTACCACAAATGAGGAATGAGGAAACGCAGCAGCATGAGTGGACTACCCGCCGAGACTGCAGTTTGGCACTACACCACTTCACCAACTAAGTCTAAATAGTACAAGACCCAAGCGGAGGGATTCACGACACAACTCCATATGGGCATCTCGGTGTGTGCTACATATCGTCTTGTAAACCGTTTCGTCTTTACCCCCCTGTCTCATTTGGTACGCAGAGGCAAGATGAGGACTAGCAGAGAAAGGTGGGCAATGCGTGTCGGGTACTTCCCTTTTTGCCTTTTGCCATCAACACCCGACGATGGTACGGCGGTGGGGATTGCGCGGCCAGGTGGAGCGTGACGGTACTGCTGTAACAAGCGGTTGTCAAACTTCCAAGGCTGATGGAACAAATGGATTGGTTTCGTCTCCTCCGTACTTGGTGCACTACACAGAGCAGTTTGCAAAAGCCACCGAACGCAGCATATCACCAACATTCTGTACTCGCACGGGACTCCCGGCAGAAGAGGAAAGCACCGCGTGCGATACACGGAAGCTTTTCCCAGAGAGCCACCCTCAGCGTGAACAGGGTCTTGTTGGGTGGGAGAAAGAAGCAAGCCGGATATGTAAGCTGTCAAAGCCTATCACCAACTACCAAAGTAGCACGCGATGAGATCGTGAGACGCTATCTCAAAGCTCCTCACCCTTCCCTGATGCCCCTGTTGTCGTTCCTCTTCTCGTTGATCCGCCCCCCTGCCTGTGCCCCCTGCCTGGCGTTGCGCTGCTGGGCTCATCACTTGGGGGGCTCCGGTGTATCGTGTGATTTGGTTCTCAAAGGGGGGCGCTCGACTTCTGCCTCACAGGTTTTGAAAACGCGTGGGACCGAGACAGAGCAGGGACAGGGGAGAGAGCAGAGAGAGCTCGTGGTCAGTCACTACTGGAGCAAACGAATACGGGCTTCAGACTGTGCGGGTGCGGAGCCGTGCACCCGTAGGCTGCCAGAGCTCGGCTTGGTTATCATCACATCAGCTGCGATATCGTGTTGCTAATTTGATTTTCGATCAGAGCAAGGCAACCGGCCCGGTGCGGGCTGTCTGTTTTGGGCTGCTGGGATGGTTTCCTTGGAGAAGGAGAGCGACCGCCAAGCCATGGAGAACGTCAGGGAGTTCAGGAAAGGCTTGCTGTGCAGTATATGGTGAGTGGAGCAGTCAACGAGTATTCTGCCGTTGTTTGAATAATTGGCACGGCAGTACACGGGTTATACGGGCAATTATGCACGTCCATTTTCAAATCTCTCGCTCTCACGATTGCACCAACCGCTCGGTACATGATCAACCAGAGACAGGAATGTTGCTCTAGGGCAGCAGTTGCTGCAACACGAAAAGCGAGTATTTCAGATGGATCCAACCTATGGGGGGAGGAGTCTGAAATTGGTGTTTATTGGAGTTGATGAGAAGTGAGCATTTATTATTATGTGCCAAAGAGGATGTCTGCGTGCGTATAGAAGAGGAGTCATGCGCACCGAGAGAAGGCAGCTGCTCGCAGGACATTCCGTTTGCGCCCGATCGCGTTGAAGCATCATCAGTGCTGGAGCACAGGGACTGCTAAACGTACGAGTGGACAACACTGCCAGCTACTACCTGTTAAGACGTTCTGTTCCGGGGAGCTAGTGTTGTCGTATTATTGGCCAGAGAGTTACCTTCCAGACTTCGTGGAAAATAATAATAATAATGACACTTCGGAAAAATACAATAAAGAGGCTTTCTTATTTATATCTCCCCATCTACAGCCGACCTTTCCCTTAGTTGTCACGGCGACCATACTGGCGCACACCTTTCCTGTAAAACTTCGAGCAAATACGGCCGTTTCAAGATTATTGGAGCGTACTGTGAGAGCGGGCCTTCCCGGTGGCCAACTGCTGAACTGTAGATATCGTGTCGTCCATGGCCTTCCGACAACGTATGATTTGCTTTTGGCATCCTCTTCGTCGGGAGTACTCGAGCTTTAGTAACCGCCGGTCCCGCGGATGTGGTATCGGAGGCAACCTGCGGTGCCCTCTTACCCCGTGGCTTGCCGTGGCATCTACGGAGGCCAGCTTGTTGCTTCGAGTCAAAATGCAGATGATCTTGGTACCCAGCAGTAACGGGTCGTACTTGCCTGGGACATGGGTAACCATATACCTAGTGGCAGCGTGGCAGCAGGTTGCGGGCTCGAACCCCTCTCGCAAGCCAACAATTACAAGCTGAGACTCTGTGGTGGAAAGCGATTTATTCGTGAGGATACATCGCACTTGTGACAGGGAAGGGACTGCTGAACCTTTACCGCGTTGAAAATTGAAGGCAAGCATCGAGGTGACGGTGGGGACGTCGTAGTAAGACTCTACATACAGGTTTGTAACGTTTCTTTTTGGTTCGTTGAGGTTGGCGGGGCTGTTCGAGTCAAGAACACGTCAGCTTTGTGAGCTGTTGAGCCGGAGAAACGTCACACCGCAGCTGCCAGCCAGCTGTGGGTTGGTCCTGCTGCCTGCTTTTTATGATCATCTTGCATCTTACCCCTTGGTGACAGTGTGCTCTCATGAGCCCGCTCCGGGGGGATCACTTGCATACCATACAATGCTGAAAGATGAGACGAGAACACATTACAAACACACTTGCTTGTCCCTGTCAACCCCCTCGCCGCCCCCTGCTGCCCTTCCTCTGCCGCAGCAACGAGTTTCTGAGCGACACTTACAACCTTCCCTGCGGACACAGCTTCTGCCGAGAGTGCATCGACGATGCCTTAGCCGAGAGGAACTCGTGCCCTGACTGCATGAACCCCGCGTGGCAAAAGGATACCCTCAAGATGGCTCTCACGGTGAGCACCATTCCTCAAGTCCGAGGCTTCTCGACACACCCCCCGAAACAGGACAATTGCTCGTCTGTTGTTGCTAGTGGCGAAGGAACGATAGGCTTGCCTCCGTCCTATATGTAAAATCGTAGGGATGCGTGTACTGTCGCAGGGATTCCGGCCCATGCAGAATTATGCGAGCCTACCCCCCCCCCCCGGCCTGATTCAAAGCATGCAAGAGTAGCAAATCTCCGCCAAGTGGAAAAAACGAAGATGGTTGCTCAACTACTGTTGTGGGTTTATTGCGCGCAGAAACGGTCTTCCGTCTCCAAGGGACCAACTGCAGCAGCAATAGTTTGTTTGGAAGCGAACGTTCATGACCGGGCCGTGGGTGAGCTGTAGCTCTAGCCGTTTCCACGGCCGCTCGAGAAGATCGCGCTTCTATCTTTTTCCCGTGATATCATTGTTCACCATCCCTGTTAACGAACAAAATTATCATTCCCAAATTTAAGAAATCCCCTCGACTTGGCCCCCGAAACCTGTGTAAGGCAGTACCAGACAGGCTACTAGAGACAATATCTTTCTAAGCAGCAGGTTGCCGTCTCATTCTCCCTGTGCCTTTTGATCCTGTTGATCTCAATCGTCTGAGCAGGACAGCACCGTGCAAGACTGGGTAGCCAATTGCGAGCGGCTCTACCAGGCGCACGTTGCTCGGCAGGCCGCACGGGACGGGGAGAGCAGCGACACCGACAGCGATTTGGCTCTCGTCGAGGCCTCCTCCGGAGACGATGAACGGGGGGGCACCGACATCGACGAGGAGGAGGAGGGGGGAGGCAATGTGGCCCCCATTGCGGTCCCATCCGCGCCGCCCCCGCCGCCGCAGCAGCAACCGCCGGCGCGGCAGGCGGCGCCGGAGAACGAGGGGGTCGTAGGGGCAGCAGCAGCGGCAGCACCATCACTGCCATTGCCCGCCGCCGCGGAACCCCTCCCCTGCCGTTCGTTGAAAGGAGCGGAGAAGGAGAACAACGCGGCATCGGGATCGTGGGGAGCCGCCACTGCGACTTCCTCTGCTGATTTGTCGGTTGCAGCAGCAGCACCTACCGCCGGTGTCGTGGGGGTCGAACGAGCGGCCGCGTGGAGCTCTTCCCCCTCCTCCTCCTTCTCCGGCCAGAACAGAACACCTCGCGTCAGGTTTCAACCGTCGCCGCTGCGCGCCTGCGCTGCTCCTTCCGAAGCCGGCCAGAAAGGTTCGGGTCGTCAGGAGGAGGAAGCAAGCGTTCATCCCAGGCGAGAGAAGCTGCCGCCTGCGGCCGCCGTCACCAAGCCGCGTGATTCCTCGCCCTTGGTGTTGGAAGGCACCGTCAAAGCCGGCGACGTAGTGGACGCCAGGCTTCCCACGGAGGGGGAAAAGCTGCGGTCTACGCCGGCGGCGGCGCCGTTGAATCGGAGCGTTGCCAACACGGCCGCGGCTTCGCCACCGGGCACAGAATCTGAACGCCGGGAATCTACGCCGCCACGGGGCACCCTTGTCGTGACCGCGAAAGACCCAGGGCCGTCGCCGTCGGTCGTGCCTGAGAAACCAGCTGCTGTTGAACGTGAAGAGGGCGGGTCCAGTTTTGCTGTCGGCCTTCCGGATACGTGCGACATCTTCGATGCCGAATCGTCGCCGCCGCACTCTCCGATAGCGTCGACGACGACGACAACCACGATGCTCATCCTCACTCCGCCTACCCTGAAGCCCGGTGGCCCCGAGACTAAAGCGGCGGTGAGTTCGCCGAGCTTGAAGGCGAGAGGGCCAGGCGAAGGAGCTTCAGCGGCTTGTTCTGCTGGTGCTAGACCGGGCGTTCGCCTAGAAGGGGGCGACGAGCACGGTGAGGATGACGGCGCGAGTTTTGGCGGAGAAAAAGGGAGCGACCGCCACGGGAAGGATGCCCGCGCGATGCCACAGGAGAGCCGGGACGGTGAGCGGCAATCACCCCAACAAGCCCGAGGTATATTGGATGTGTCTTCGGGGGACCCACCCTGCCCGACGAGCAAGCCGCGGGTCGGTGGCACCTCAGCCGAAGGGGGGACCAGCACAGACGTGGGGGTGGGCGGGGGTGGAGGGGGACTCGGAGGTGAGCAACTCGGCGAGGAGATCGAGGGTACCCCTGGCGGAACCGGCAAAGGCTCAGGATTTGAGGGCAGCCACCGTCCTCTCCCGCCGCGTGGAGCTAGTGCAACAGACGTCGATCGCTCTTGTGCTGATGCAGGGGTGGAGTTGGGCGACTCAGGGAGCGAGGACGGAGTCTCGGACGCCGAAAGTGTTCCCCTGCTGGGCGCCAACGCCCGGTTAAAGGACGTGAACGGGCAGAAGCCGCAGCAGCAGCAGAAGCAGCAGCACGGTTCCGGGCGAACATGGCCGTCGGACGGGGTGCCTAGCCCGTCTTCACGGAGTCCTTTGGCTGGTAGCGGAGTTGATCGACCGGACGAGACGACGGTCCGGCATAGGAGCACAGCTGCCAACGACGAGGAAGGAGAGGAAACCTGCGACGAAGCCGACTCGCTCTCCAACTATGGAGGCTCTGGTGCGGCGCTTGGTGATTGCGGGAGAGGGGAGCAGCCGACCACAGGCGTAGAAGACGAGCGGGCAAACGAAGCGGTGAGCTTGGAGGCAACGGGGCCGTCAAAAGATGTTGATCCGTCCTCTTCCCCGTCACGAGTTCCGCTCGTCCTCACCAACGGGGGTGAGGTTCCGAAACGACCTGCAACTCACGGCGCAGCGTCGGGGGCGGCCGAGAAGACGTCTCCAGCGAAGGGTACGGGTGTCGTCGATTCTGTCCGACCAGGTTGTCAAGCACCGACGGCTTCTCCGCGCCACGATAAGCTCTTCCCGGATGGGCAACGCTCCGCCGCTGTGGCGTCAAAGGAAGCAGAATTGTCGAGTACGACGCGGGTGGATTCCCCGCAGCCGGTCTCGGGAAGCCTACAGCGGCAACCGCAAGCTTTCACGGCTCCGTCGGAAGCGTCGGTGCTGCACGACGAGCAGAGCGCCGCTAAGGGCGATGTTCTTGCGAGGCGGGAGGGGCGAAGCCTCGACGGCGGGGAGCTTTGCGTCGCGGAGACCCTCCCTCAGACGCCGGGACTCGGCGGAGATGTGCTAGACAAGCACGCGGTGGTAGCGTCGCCGGGGGATGACGGCGACACAACGGTGCCGGAAACTTCGGCGCAGGGGGGTCTCGCAACGGACGTTCTAGAGCCAAACCCGCCCAAGTCGTTGGCGGGAGGCGTTATCGCTGGCCCGGCAGGAGGCACCCCCGGGGTGGAGCAACCAGAGGGAGGAGGCGTGGGCGAGGCTTTTGAAGGGGGTAAGGAGGACCCAAACGTTGCTCGATTAGAGGTTCCGGACAGCTGTGTCGCCCATGCCGACGGCCAGGAAGAGCACCACGCGAGTGGCGGGGGCACAGCGTCTGACGGGCTCGATGGGCGGGGCCCCGTGCGAGCGGAGCAACTCGGCGACAAGAACACGCGGGGTTCTTCTGTCGCTGCCGCTGCTCTTGCTGCTCCGCAACCGGGCGTGAAAGGTGGAGGTAGAACGCCCTCGAGCCAGGCGGCACCTCTCCAGCAACGGCGATCACCAGAGAACGCGACGACCCGTGTAGATTCTCCAGGACTCAAGACGGGGAGCTCAGCGGACGGGCGACTGCGGCACGATTCAGACGAAGTGCCGGAAACCCTACCGTCACAGCGGGTCGGCGTGGATGCCGGGGATGGCAGAGGGAGCTCTGCGGCCGCTCCCGACGTCTGTTTGGCCACTCAGGAGCTATCGGAGCAGAGAGAATCAACTAGGTGTTCAGACGATCACGGGCCGGAGCTTGGGCGGAGAATCCCTGAAACTGCCGCTCAAACCAGCACCACCCAGGAAATCCAAAGCCTTACTACGCAGGAGGTGCCGGAGACGGCGCATGCGTGGGGTAGTGTCGGGGCTTGTGGCGGGAGTAGCTCTTCGCGAATCGACGGGGTGGGATCGGCGGCGAGCGGCAGTTACTCCCAATCAGAGGTCCTTGAAACCGAGCAGCTGCATGGAGGGGCGACCCAGGGCACTGCAGATTGTGCGGGAGGAGTCGGCGCCAGCGGCGTCGGCGACGGCGTGGAAGAGCAAGGTGCAGCGCGATTCAGGCGTGGGGCCATTGCGCAGTCGCAGCAGCCGCAGCAGCCGCCACCGCTGCAACAGCAGCAGAGCAAGAGTATGCCGCCATCATCGTCGACGTTGCCGGCGGAAGCCGTGGTCGGAGGGACAAGCAGGGACGAGGTGGGTGGGGTCAAGAGCTGTGCTGGACTTGGAGATGGCGAGAAGCCGGGTGAAGCGTGGGCGTCTCCCGGATCGCTCCGCGCCGACGAAGCGGCCGGTGTCCACGGAGGGGTTCGCGACGGGGGCAGCCCAAAGAGCTTGGTGCCGACAGAGAGGACGCCGGATGGTAGCGGGAACCGCAAGCGATCGGCCGATTACGCCACCCTATCCCCCAGCAGCAGGCTTTCCTGCGACCCGGGGAGTGCCGGGAAGCGAACAAGGTTGACGCCGCCGCCCTACTCTGCGGCAAACCCCTCCGCGAGGCCCGGGGCAGCCGCAAGCGATGTGGAAGCCTCCTGCAACGACGACAAGCCGCCGGATGGCGGTAGCCCGTGGCAAGATGCCGGGCGGGGCAGCCAGCAGGGCCGCCCGATCGCTCTTCGAGGGGGCAGCGGCCCTCCAGGGAGCGACGACGAGAGTGAGATGCCCGACACCGACCACGACCTAGCTGCCGTGCAGGACGCCTGGCACGCCGAGGGAGGTTACGAGTTTGGCGACGACGGCGGGTACCTGGAAGACCAGACGGAAGAAACGGAATCGGGTCGGCTTCCTTCTTCCCCGGCCGGCGATGACTCCCCCCCCCGGAAGCCCCGAAAGAACCAGGAGGTCGACAACCCGTATGCCCCACAGGCCCACCTTGATTTGAGTCACGGCGGCGACGATTTTCAACCGGCCGCCCGTGCCGACGGGATGATGTCTCCACCCGTCGGCGGCGTGGAAGAAAGCGGTAAGAAGCCTCGCAGCTCTCGTACCGCCGCCCGCCGTCCTTCGAAGAGCACCATGGGCTTCGGCAGCCCAAGCTTTGGCGGTGCCGTCCGCATCTCGCCGAGCTTGAGCGGCTCGAGGTTTGCCGCCAGCCTGAACGACAGCAATCGCCGCCCCATCAAGAACAGGATTTTGGCGGCCGGACGGGAGCATGGTCTTGGCGGAACGACACCAGCCAGCCTCTCGGTGCCGGACAAGAGCGGTACTTGGTCGTCGTTCAATGACCTGGGACCGGATACCGAGGTGTGTTTCTTGGTCGTGATTTCTTTTGAGACGGGGTCGCCTGGGTTGTAGGTACGTAGGCTAGGGGAGGGTCCGCCATCGGCCTCTGTGATGTAATGTCGATGGTGACGGTACAGATCATTCTTTCAGTACAGGTAGAACAGCAGGACCTGTTCCTGCATGGACGGGACGATGCTCCCTCCGCTCGTGATACCGACAGCTGGTTCGGCGATGGCCCCGCAAGTTCCAAGGCAGGTTTTCGAGATATACGCGGCGCTCCCCCCCGCCCCCAACGCCCGTTCCTGCTGTGCCCCCCGTCCACCGCGACCGTTACATTCGTTCGTGACTTGCCTGTCCTGCGTCCGGCTTACAGCCCCTGTCCTTCCTTGAAAAATCAATTTTTCAGGAAGTGGAAAACCTGCAAGCCCGCGTTGCGGAAAAACGGGCTCAGGAGAAGGCGGCCGCAGGCTCGGCAGCTCCGGAGACCAACTCGTTTGACCCTAGCGACGCCGAGTACGAAGAAGGGGGAGAAAGCGACGACGACGGCAGCTGGACGGGACGGGGGGAGCAAAATCACGGTCATCGCCAAGGATGGGATACGCGGAGGGATTCCTCGTCGGAGAACAAGCGCAAGAGGACTGCTATGGCAGCAGCAGCGGCTGCAGCAACAACAACAGCAAGCGAGGGAAGGGGAACCAAGGTGCCCCGGGAAGCTCGTCACGACAGAGGCGACGATGGCCGCCCCCGCCGCCGCCGCAGCCCTGTCCTTATCGTCCTGCTCGGTTGTAGTCCGCGGGAGCAGAAGCGCGCGAACGAGCTGTGCGCGAGGTTGGGACAGCGCCGCCCTGAGACAGAACTGGTTTCGGGCGCGACACAGCGTTGTGGTTGGCAGCCAGTATACGCGGCCAGCAAGCAGCAGCAGCGATGGTAGCAGCAGCGGCAAGGGAAGCGGCAGCGGTGCAGTGGTCGACGACGGGCGAGGTTTTGGGGGACGCCACGAGCTCGTGAAGCATGAGGTAGAGGGGTACAGAGAGGCAGTTCTGCTGGGGCTGTGGGTGCTCGATTTCTCTTGGGTGGGCGCGTGTCTGGAGGGGAGGGGGGGGGGGGCAGGCAACTCGAGGAGTGGCAGTGGCAGCAGCAGCAGCAGCAGCAGAAAAAGTGACAACAACGAGGGCGAGCGAGACTGTCGCGGCGGTGTGTCCTCGATGATGTCCCCGCCCCGGGACTTCGAGCTCGTCGGGTGTTCGGAGAACCACGAGGGCTGCAAGCCCCGGCGAGGGCGGTTGAACAGGGGCTTCAAGGTGCCTGGGGTTTTCCACGGATATGCCTTCTGCGTTATCGCGGGGAAGGGCGCGGGAGCATCGTCCTCCAGAGTCGACGGGTCGCGGTCGGGGTTGGAGCGGCTGCTGAGGCTTGGTGGGGGCGTCATCCTGGCACCTGTGCCCCCGCGGGCCGCTGAAGGGTTCTGCGACAACCCCTTCGGCTCGGAGGACATTTCCGGCTCTGACGATGAGGCGGTGCACGTCGAAGCTGGCAGCGGCGACGGCGGAGACAACGAGGCGACGGCGAAGGAGAGGACGGTGGTCGTCTTGGCCATGCCAGACTCTTCAGACGGGCGCGGGGTCAGCCTGAGCCTCGCCAAGGCCGCGACGGACAAGTGCAGAGAGCTCGGAGCCGCCGCCGCGGTCGACCGGGGGTGGGCCTTGCGGTCCCTGGACATCGGCTCTCGGGTGCCCTTCGACGGCCACGACCTAAGCGACGACGACATACGCAGGCCGAGCGGCCAGCGGGGCGGTGGCTCCTCCAAGCGCGCCGCGAGCCGGCTGAGCATTCCGCGGCCGCGGTGCGGCGATGCCCGGCCTAGGACGGAAGTTTTGCTCGATCTGGAAGACGACGGGGGGCGTCGCTCGGCCATGGCGGAAGCCGTGCGGGCGGACCGGGAGAAGACGGCGAGGCTGCTGCGGATAGCGGAGGAGGTGTCGAAGGCACCGACCAAGCAGGTGCCGGCGTCGGATCCCCCTCCCGCGCCTGGGGCAGACGGTTTCGAGTTTACCCGCAACGGCAGCAAGAAGGTCTGGTGTGCGTGTTGTTTGCTGGTTTTTGCTTTTTTTTGTTGGCGCGTTATTGTGCCTTTTCGGGGAAGGAGTTTTACGAGGTCACTGCAGCAAGGCGTACGGGCGCATGATCAGTTCAGCAGAACAGTAGTAGGAGAACAGAGGAAGGCAATCAAAACGAAGCATAAACCACCGGGCAAGGTGTTTGTTGTCCGAAAGGAAGAATTTACTCGATTCCGTCTGAATACGAAGCGTGGCCTGCACCTACTGGTCCGACATTTTTTGCTTGTGAAAAACGCTGTGCTCCCCGACAAGGCCGAATGTTAGCATAGCGTCGAAGATGTGTTGGTGCTACCTTGCTCGTCGTTGCGGGGCCTCAGTGTTCGTCTTTTCCCTGTTGGATTGCCGCCGTGTCTTTTCGGCAATTCACCTTCGGTCTCGCTCTTTCGCTCTCTCGCTCTCCCTCTGTCTCCATCTCTATCTCCCCCCCCCCCTCTCTCTTCCTTCTGTCTGTCTGTCTGTCTGCCTGCCTGTCTGTCTCTCGTGCCGTTTGATCTCTCTCTCTCTCTCTCTCTCTCTCTCTCTCTCTCTCTCGGTGTCTGTTTCTCTCGTGCCGTTTGTCTCACAATCCGTCACAGAAGGCGAAGGGCCCTCCGAACGTGACGACCTTCGCCGCAGAAAACAAGGTACGGTCGGTACAAGTCCCTCTGTGTTCGGCAAGCGCGCGGTTTTTGTTGTCAAAAGCGCACCGTCGAAAGAGGTGCCCCTCGCGCCGAAATGGCGACCTGCGTGTCCGGTAGACTAGTCGACAGCGGTTCTTGTTTTGGATTTAGTCAAGGACACGCACGGTGATTATGGGTCGCGCTACACGATTGCTGGCCGTTTTCTTTACTCCTGCCGTTTTGAGTCGTTGCATCGTACTTTTGTGTTTTTCTGTGGATGAGGTTGCACCCAATTGTGCTGTGCGTTTCCTTGGCGGAAAAAATAAACAAACTTTTTCATTGGGATGGTTTTCTCCTCTTCGAACGAATTGTGCCTTCACAAAGATTACATAAGTTTCTGGCATGTGTCTGCTTGAATCTATTACTGCGTAGACGAGGGTGTGCTCGAACTTGAAGAGCCCGTCGATCGTTGCCTTGCGAACGCTTTAGTTAGCGGTACAGAATATCACAATCTTTCCTCTTTGGTTGGTTCTCTTCTCTCCCACCTCACCACCTCAAACGACTCTGCAACGTGCGCCCAACGTGCTGAACACCACACGACGACAGGCCCAGCGGGATCTCAAGGAAGCCTTGCACAAAGTCGGATACCTTGACGCCGACAGCTCGGACCCGGACAAGGAACACAGGCTCGGAGAGTTCTGGTTCGACTTGGTGTACGACGGCTTCTTCATGAAGCGATCGGAGAACGCGATCCCGGAGGCGAAGCGTAGGTGCGTCACCCCCCCCCCCCCCCTTCCGCTAGGCACGTTTTTTTTTTCTTCACTTACACACGCACCCCAATTTTTTGTTTTCCAACCTCGTGTTATTTTCCGGCGTTGAAATTGAATTGATCGGGTTTGCCTGAGCACAGGGTATACTTACAAGCAATGAGATGGATTCAATTACGAGCCTGACGCTGGCGCGCAGCTCACAGCGCAGCCCGGTTAACATAGCAGCAGTGTTGTGTACAGCAGTGCCAAGATATAAACATCACAACCCTCGCGTGCGGTGGCATGTGTGGTCGCACCGTGAGAAAACGGCGGTACTCGCCTTGACAACTCGTGCCCGCCCCCCCCCCCCCCCGCACTCGTTCCTCCCTCCCCTCGCTGCGTTGCCACCGACGCACGCCTCTTTGTGTTTTTCGGGTCTTGAACAACCCGGCACAACAGGGGCTGCCCGGTGGACGTCCTCAGAGCCGAGTTCGAGAGCCACGATGCCATCCAGACCGATCGCTCCAGGGCCAACGTCGAGAAACTGCCCGGGGAGTTCCCCTTGTGGAAGGCGGGAAACGGCTCGGAAGATGCCGTGGAGCTCCTTTGAGGTCGGAGGAGAGCGGAGAATGCTTCTTGCGTGGAAAATGAAAGGCCCGTGCGCGCGGGAGGTCGAATTCATTTTCCGTTCCTTCGGTTGGCTCGGTTGTTCTCTTGCCGCGCTCAGTGAGCGTGATTTTCATCGATGACTCCATGTTTTTGTTTTATTGCTGTACCCAGCGATGGCTGCGTGGTGGTGGGACGCGTACCACCCGCGGGTTGGGTCTGATTAGGAAGTTGCGGGTTGGGTTTGATCAGGAAGATGTGCTCGTTTTTCTCGGAGTCTATCCCGGGCCCACGGGTAGTCGATCGGTGTGTTTCGACTGGAGAAGAGGGCTCGCGAGTTTTTTTTTGTGCTCGTTGGGTTGGGATTGGCAGGCGCTCTTTTGGAAAGGGCGTAGTTGCTGTACACTGGTCGTCCGTGGAGGGGGGTTTTATAGAAAGACTACGATGGCAGACGAACGGGTTGCTACCTTTTTCCGTTGCCGAGCCAAAGACCCGTTTCGTATAGTCCCGGGGTCACCGGGGGCAGTCCATCGTGTGCTTACAAACTCGGTTGGCGAGCTCGTGTTAGGTTCCGTAGCCTTTACAATGAAAAATGTTTGTTTTCGTTGCTATCCCGGGCGTGTTTTGGCCGCAGGGGTAAACGGGTCGTGTGTGTTGCACCCGATAGGTTAGCCGGACGCCCTTTTGGAAAGGGTGTTTTACGCTGCTGGGCTCATGGGCGGCTCATGCGAGGAGATTGGTTGCGTATCGGCTTCAGCTCGAAACGCGCTCGTGGAACGGCTTCGTTTGCAGTTGCGCTCTCTCGGTGTGTCTGCGTGCGGGATTGAGGCGGAAGCCGCTCTTCTTGTGGAAAGTGCGTCTTGCAGTCCGTTCCGAACGAAATGACTTGTTGTGCGGTTCGTGCTTTTATGACTCGGCTGGCTCGACTTTGTCGCGGGCATGGCGCGTGTTGATCCGGGAACGAAGAGATGCGCATATTTGTTGTCGCGATTTTGAGTTGTTTCTGCCTTGGGGTCAGCATGACGCTAAACACGAGTGAGTATGTGCGAGTTGGTATGTACGCCGTGATTTTGTTGCGAGGTTTTCACGCTTCTCCGAATGGGGGGGCTGGGTGTGTGTGAAATCCTCAAGCTTCTCCGCCGGTCGGTGTTGGTGGAGCACGGAGCATGAATAGGCAGCCCAGGGAGCGAAGCGCAGGATAAGCAAGATGAGAATGTGACAAGGTCCTATTCTTGGAACCGCAACAGCTGTGTTGATGTCGCTGGGCGTGCTTGCTGAATGATTGTAGATTGACTTATGGTGTTTCGTTGTAGTTTTGTGGTGCCTTTTCCTGTGTTGTTTCTTGTTCGTATACAGAATGTGTGGCTGTTGTGTTTGTGTTTGCCGCAACCGTTGAAGGCGTGCGGTTGGCGTTGCAAGCGGCCGTGTACTCACACCGAGAGCCCTTTCTCCGACGCGGCAATATGGGGCGCGAGGATATCGTGGGTGGTCTTGCGGCGTGGAGGTGGGGGAGACAAGCAAGAGAGAGAAAGAAGCGTGATCTTCGTGCCCATTGTTGTAAGAGCATTCATCGGAGGGAGGCGAGGGGGCCAATGAATTCCAAGCAGACACATTGATACTGTTACATGCTGGGATGAAAAAGGAGTGCGTGCGTGCGGGGAGCTTCGAGGTGCGCTTTTCACATACTCCTAATACTTTCACCGTTTATTCGGCCAACACCAACAGTAGGTGGTTTCGTGTCTTTCGTGCGGATCTATAGACAGAGAGTGCTGCTTCGGAGGACACAAGTGAGGTACGACAGCAGTCGCATCCGTGTACTAACATCATGTACGATCTTTGAGATGGGTCCGAGACTATGTAATCCGGCTGTCGACACAGTTAGTTGCCGTCTGGTCTGTATGCCGCTTCACTCTTTTTGTTCCCCGCGAAGGTTTCGTCGCCACCGGGCCCCTCTCGTGACCACCGATATATATCTATTTACGTACGTACGTATCCGACAACACGTGAATTCACATAGTCTATATCCTTCGTTTTATGTTTGATAATATGAATGGGTGGAATGAATGCTTGCCTCGCCCCGTGCACCCGAACAAGAAGACCTGTCATCTCAAAACTTCCGAGCCACTCTTCTTCTGCCTGGTCGAGTCGACGGGGGAGGGTCTGCCGCGGACCCGGTGACGGGGTTGGACTCATTCACTCTTCTTTTTTGTTCGAGCGTTTCACTCATTCATATTGACTTCTATCCTTACTTACCGACAGATGATGCCGTTGCTACGCAATGAACTGCCGGACAGAAGGAAGAGGTAGAATGAAGGATTCACCAGATCCAGCAGTGCGCCGCCAGACAGAGTGTTGATGCCGAAGTCATCTATAGTAGAGTAGTGGTGGTACAGATAGCGGGCTCAATTTCTTTGGGGTCGAGGCTCAATTTCTTAGTTCGTCATCACCTCGGTCCAGCTTTCGTAAGATAATTGTACGTAGGTTTTTGTGTAGGAGATCCACGGCTGGATAAACAATGGTCTACGCCAAAAAAAATTCCCGACACAGGCCAATAACCGTCCTCCCCCCGGAGGGGGAAGAAATTCGAAAAGTTTGTATGAATCGTCGAAAATTTACCATGAGGTTGCAGTAGATGGGTGGCAAACGTGCCTCACTCTCCTTACCCGTTCTGCATCTACCTCTTCGTCATCGATGCTGGCCCACACTCCTCACCCACACAGCCGTGCTAATACTGCCTTACTTACAGGAGGAACACACAGCAACGGACACAAACAAGCAGCCTAGTTCGCGTAGCGCCTCTATTATCTACGAAGAAAGTAAAGTTGGGTAGATACATTCTACAAACTGTAGTATTGTAGTATCGATCAAAGCTTGAAATCAGTCCAATTCAATTGGAGCAGGTAAGTCAGTCTAAAACCAGCTCTCACATATTGAACCACCTGCCTTGCAAACTTTTGCCCTTCCTTGCCGCCTCCCATATATATTTTAGCACTGGACAACAGGGAACATACAGCAGTAGTCAGTCTCGCAAATCTACTCGTAGGGTTGGTCTTCTTGTAGAGACTTGACCAATCGGTCACACGGACGGGCGACTGGTGGGCTATACTATAGCGGCTGCTCCTTGCAGGTGAAGCAGCATCATCATCATGGCCGTTGTGGACATTCGTTGGTGGATCATGATTCGCGCGTGGATCAGATATGGGGGCGGGGGGGAGGGGATACACGGAGCCCCGTTCGAAGGAAAAGAGCGGGACACCAAACCACACGTCGCCACACCGCGAAGAAGGAGAGGGAGGGAGGGAGACAGAACAACAGACAGAGAGAGAGGGAGACAGAAACATGGAAAGCAGAAGGAGTCCGCCATCTCCTCAGAGCAAGACTGAGGAGGCCGCCACCACAACAACGCGTCGACCTGAGCAACAGCTTCAACATTCGCCTTTCATGCATCCGCCGGCGCCAAGTGATGGTCCGGACGCCGTCGATAACCCACTTTGGACCTTCTCTGAAGCGATTGATCGCGTAGGTTTGGGCCCTTTTCAAAAGAGACTGGTCATCATATGCGGATTGGTGAGCGTGCGTTGCGATGTCGCGTGCTGTCAATGTCATCGTCACGCATTACTGGGTGGCAAACGGTCGAATTGCGGAACGGTGAAACCAGCAACCGCCTGCTGCGCTGCTGGCGCGTCGCAAGTCGCAAGGCAAGGTACCCGACTCGCGCAGTACTAATAGCAGGAGCTGGGCTGTTTGGATTATGTAGGTCTACATAGGTGCACTCTATTGCACACAGCAGTGTTGCTGTTTGGTTGTTGGTTGCATGTACAACAGTAGTCTAGGCAGTGGACAAATATGAAATACATGTGTCTGCTGTTGTAGGTGCTGCGGCGTTTCGGCACGGCAACGTTTTATGTTTTATTGGCGGGATCCTGCAGTCTATAGATGCCGGACGCGGCTCTGTTGCGACTGGAGGTGCCGCAACAGAGGTTATTTTAACGCTTAGTCTAACCCTCTAAGAACTAAGAACCCGGGTTCAGTAGTTATTAGAGCAGGAACTACAGAAGTGCAGACAAAATCGCATCCGCTCATTGGGAGAGACTGTACAGTCCCGAGGTACGAAGGCTGACTTGCCACTTGGCTGACTTGGACAGAAAAGTGAAAAGTGTCCCCAAATGCCTGGGGGGGACACTTCAAATAATAAAAGAGAAGTTACCAGAATCGGGTATACCCGGGTGGATTATCACCATTTATTTCAGGGTACACTTGGAAATCAACACGACACCAATCTCCGACAGCCTCCGCCGTAGATCGCGGCGAAACCAATAAACCGCTGTGTCCTGTGCCTCGGAAGCATGATGCATGAGGCAGGTCGTGCCCGTTTCGTCTCTCTGTGCCTCTCTCTGTGTACATTTACTGATCAGCACCACACCAAACGAACTCGCGCGTCAAGCGAGTCCGACCCTCGGTCGAGGGGGGCCGGTATCCTATGGAGGCGGTGCCCATCAACGAGCGAGCGTTTTGGTGGTTTGTTTGTGGGTATGTGTGTGCGGTACACGGTATGTGCGGTAGACGTTTTTTTCTGCGGGTTTTATGCTAGAGTCGTCGGGCGCCGGAATTATATGACCATTTCTGGGTACAAAAATCGACCCCTTCCGGGTACAATAGGAACCAGTATCGGTTACACCAGAGGGTCGAGATGCCAGCGCCGGTTGTACCCGATGGAGGTGTATTCAAAAGTGGTGTTTCGGCCAATCAGCTGGCTGCCTGGGGTTGTTATGTTGAGTTCTAAGTGTACCCCAAAATGGTGATAAACTACCCGGGTATACCCGTTTCTGGTTATTAGTCTATAATAAATACGGAACTTATTCTCTCCGATATTTTTGTCGTTGGCCCAGTAGATATCTAGACCAAATACTGCATGCGGGGGAGATGTCTTGATGTTTGTACCTTACAGCTGTGTTTTTTGTGATGAGCACCTGCTGTCATCACTGATAAATATTCAGTATCAAGTGTGTATATATCTAGTTTTTAATGACTCGAAGTAAGCCCAGTACCCAGCCGGTTTCCCTCCACTCACTGCAAAGGCTCCAACACATTCCCTTCGATTGTGGTTATATCTCGAACGGGGTAGGTCAGTGCTTGTATTTATTTTTCCTGACACTTTCAATGCTAAGGCAAGTCAATGAATTTTCCCAGTTCAAGGTAATGCAGACTGTAGCTTCTACCTACAAGGGGGCACGCGGCTTGGGAGATACGTTTACAGCAAGCAAGATAGAGGCCGGGGAGAGGGATCACGGGGTCACACAGCACACAGCACGTATGTATTGTTACGCAGCGTACAACCTCAGCGAAGCATGGTAGACCAAGATTTCCCAAGCGCGTTTCACGCAGCGGAGCCTGTTGCCGGCTACGACGTACTTAAGAGAATCGATATAAGAGAAAGTACGGATATAAGAGGATGAAATCGGCTTGTCACGGCTAAAACCGATATAAGAGAAAACTTGCCTTATTCCTGAGAAATTCTCTTAAACCGAGCCGTGAGAAATCGCTCTACAGCATTACACCCAACACGCAGCACACGCACACGGCTGCAGACACCTTGTTTTCCCTGTTGATTGGGCAATTTCATTTTTTATACGCGTGCATGTATTTGGACAAGGCGTCCCTCCGGAGTAGGGTAAAGAGAGCACCGCGGCAAGGGGTGATGCAAGAATATACAAATAGCTAACAGAGGAGCAACAAATACTTACTTTCGTATTTGCTGTAATAAAAAGGTTCGCGGCAGGTCGGCGCGAGCTTATTTTTCAACGTGGATGTAGTTCATTTAGC